TCTAGTAATAGCCACTTCAAACCAGAATGGCAAATAAACACATGAAAAATTGTTCAACATCATTGGGGGAAACAATATGTCTGGATCTTATGTCAAAAATATTGTTCCCACAGGACTCTCCCTCCAAAATAAAAACACTTTCCATAAAAAAAAAAAAAAATGTATTCGGCCCTCCTGGTGGCGCAGCGGGTTAAAGCACAGCACTAAGAAGCTAAAGCCACTTCACATGAGTTCGATTCCCACCTGCCCCGGAGATGACCACATGGCGTGGCAGACCTCTCCTGACCCGCCCGCTGCTCCCCTCAGCAGTGTACTTTGTCGATCTGTCTATTCTGCTCCCAATTCTGTCTCTGGCGAAGCCTCTCGCCACCCCTGAGCCTCTGAGCCTGTACCCCCGTTCTGTATGCACAAATAAATAAATCTTTAAAAAAAAAAACTGTATTCAAATATTCATAGTATCTTTACAAATAACAGTCTAAAACTGAAACCAAACTGTTGAATATGTAGGCTTAATTTGATTACCAAACAATGGAATACTACTCAGTAAGAGATTTCTGACACAACCAGATTTCTGACACAATCAAGCACTAGATAATTCTCTAAAGCATTAAAGAAGAGGAGGCCAGACAAAATAGCAATATACTGTGCTATTCAACTTGTATAAAATCCTAGAAAATGAACTGTAATTAGAAAGTTCAGTGCTTCAAGAGCCAGGATGGGAGAACAGAATTGACGGCAAAGGGCACATAGGAAACTATTGGAGTGATGGAAATATTTTATATCATGATTATAGTGTATACATGATTGTGTAATTTGTCAAAATTGAGGCTGAACCCTTAAAATTGGTACATTATTATATGTAAGTCATACCTAAATTTAAAAAGTGGATGTTAGTAATCATACCACTAATATATAATGAATACATCGTTTACCAAACATTTGACATTTATCAATTTACCCCTTTAAAGTCCCTACAAACAGGTAACAAGGCTCCAAGGTAAGTCACTTATTCTAAGTCTGCAGAGCAAGAACTCTAATCTACCTCTACTACTTTCAACCTCAGCCATAAAGTCAACAGCAAATACTGAAGAGACCCCTGAGAAAGTCCTCTAGTTGCTGAACGGGCCAATGCCAGCTTATCTATATAGCTGTGAACCACTGCAAGTACAAAATCAGGTCAATTGGGTCACCTTTTTTAATGAAATGAGTCAAGAGGAGTCAAAAACAAGGGAAAGTAGAAAACCACAGTTCACTAAATTATACACATTAAACACCTGTTCTTTAAGCTTTTGTTTGAACACAAAGAGCATGCAGACGGGTGCTGGGCTAACAATCATATGTACTTCTCACTGAGCTCTATTTTGAAAAGTCTGCAAGCCAACGCTGCAGGTCTAACATGGAATTGCAACAGCAATGCTGGCTGTCATGAGATAAAAGATGAGAGCAGCAGCAGCTGTGCATGCAAAGTTGTGAGAACAAGGGAAAGAAAAGGAGATCACAACAGCTCCCAGAATGCAAAAACTCAGTGAACTCTAACGTATCATTCAGCCTGTTACACCCCCAATGCTTCCCCATCTTTTCAAATGTGTCTCCCTCCCCAACTCTCCCTCCAATTTGCATCTACAAGGAGGCTTTTTTCTCAGCCCAGGTGTGTTGACAACGGAAGGTTGAAAACCAAATGCTTTCTTCTACCTGTTACCCTAGCACCTTGGATTGTTCTTGATTGACAGTGACCTCAGATATTTACAGAATGAACAGTATTTAAAGAATATTAACTCCGCTTAGGGCCCACAGCATCATAATAATAACCTTATTCCTTTAACAGAATGGTGTCCTGTGAAATTAAATTCTAGGAGTAACTGAGGAACAACTTGAAATGTGTGCTTTTGCAGTTCTTTAACAAACTAAATTAAAGAAATGGTTTTGTAACAGTGTTTCCCAGAATGTTTCTGTCTCTAAAATACTGTTATTAAAATAAATGACTACAGCAGACATTCTTATTTATGTGCCTTCTTTCAGGTTCTGCTTAAAAAAAAAAAAGGAAAAAGCTATTCACATTAAGAAATTGTGAATTAAAAGCACACATGTAACATACATATTGTGGGGGTGGCAGCTTTTGATTAGAAAACATACTGGCCGCATACTTCAAAGCATCAGGGGCAAAGAATCCCTGACCTCTCACTCACCAGAAATAGTTTAAAAAGCCCTGAAAATATCCAGTTATCTTTTCCCTCCTCAGAGCTTTGCATTGATTTATAACACACATAACCTGGAAGGCTCAGATGCAAATGCATCTCACACCCCTCTGTCCACACAGCATGAAGTATTTTTTAAAGGGGTTAAAAAGCAACAAAACTGAATACAGTACTTCAACATACTTCAGCCTACATGAAACTTACAAAACCCTATCAGGAATGTAGAGAAGGTGTAATTAGACCTACTTGACTTAGTGATCGAGTATTGATTTGCCACAGTCAGAGCTAAGAAGAGGTCAAGTTCTGTCTCTCAGTAAGTCTAATTCTAAATCTAAAGCTCTTTCCACACTGCACTAATGAACAGCAAGAAAAAATTTGCTTTTCCATGGGTCCCGTTCAAGACAGCCATGCTTATTCTCTAAGCTCCACAACAATGGATCCAGCTGCCTAAACCTTTGGCCTGCTTGATCCTTCTCCAGACTCCCCTGGCCTATTCAAGAGTCAAGCAAAAGCTTAAGATCAGAAGAGCAGAGCAAGAGCTGGGGAGAGAGCAGTTCAGCCACGAGTCCATGTGAAGAGGGTCAACGAGGAAAACTGGAGAGGTGGATATGTGCACATCTAAGATGAAGGCAGGGGCAAGGCAACAGTCAGCAACCCAGGCAGGTGGTCAGAAAGACTGGCAGCCGGTAGCTGTCAAAGCTTCTCTACCCTGGGCAGGGGCAAGACTCCATCCCTGGGAAGCCTGACCAAGGCCAGACCAGGTCCAGATCCAAGGAAACCACAATGCCAGGCAGGTTGTGATGACAGTGAATAGGTCTTTCATTCATTTAAGATAAAGATTATGAAAATGCTTACTGTGTGCCAGACAATCTGCCAGGTATACTCTGAATTTATAATGCATTGTATTTGCCTTCTAAAATTTTAAACTGGTGAAAAAGATACACAATAAATGATACACTGCTTTGATAAAAGTAAGTAAAGGCACTACAGAAAGAACTTAAAAGTTCTACCTTACCAGCCCAACGGCAAAACTGAGCCAAGAAAACAGGAATGGGGTTAGAATGGAGGAAAGAAATTAAAATTTGTCAATGAAATTATTTATTAATATAAGACCAAAGCAAGATGGCTTCTAGAGTGGACTGTTGAACCACTCCTGAACATTTCTAGAATGTTTCTAGAACTTAAGCTTGAGAATACAGATTGACAACACACAACAACAGTCATACAAAATGAAGGCATAGGCAGTATCTGAATGAAAAGGTAAAAATATAATATCCATAACAGATGAACAAGCCCCAAAAATATCTGAAAGAATACTAGTCTCCAGAAGGGAATTAAGTGATATCCAGAACATGGATGAACCCTGAAACTATTCTAAATGAAAGAATTTAAAAGGTTACATGACTCCATTTACATGGTATGTCCAGAAAATATCTTGGACAGAAAGACTGGGGATTGCACAGGTATTGGAATTGGGGATAAATGGCAAGTGAGTACTTATGGGTACAACGTTTCCTTTTTTTTGGCTGATTGTGAGTTTTAAAATTGTGGCCTATATTAACTCTGAATATCCAAAATTCACTAACCATATACTTTAAATGGGAAAATTGCTAAATGAACAAACTATACACTGTAAATTATATCAAACTATTTATATAGTCTCAGAAGTTCAAAAGCTGCAGATGGCTTTATTTTGGGTCTGAAGCCATGTGAAGACTGGGTAAGTCAGCATAGCAAGTGTATGGAGTTTAGAGCAAAGTGGGGCCATTTAGTAAGTGGCACTTAACTGAGTAAGCTACCTACTTAACCTATCTAAGAACTCAAAGCAATCAGTTTGTAAAAAGACGACACTGACCGTGCACAGGGTGAGAAATGATATACAGTTATCTACATAAGTGCTCCAGGATGCTACCACGGTATTCTAAATACCATGACACGAAAAGTATTATCCAGCAAAGTTTATATAAATATTTCCTTAGGTACTATTCATTGAGTAAAACATCCTAAATCATATTTTTTTCTTAATCCTTTAAGGTCTAATTTAAATAAATAGATAAATCAAGATCTGATTTATCTATATACATCCCTTTTGCCACAGGGTCCTGGATGAGTTATGAGGGTCATGAAACATTTTGAGTGCTTACTATGTTCTAGTCATTCTGTTTCATATATGACATGAGGTGAAAGTAAATTCAAAACGTAGTCAATAGAGTGCCCTATTTTTCCCATCAGACTTGGATATTTTTGGTGTTAATATTTGAATCTCATTATTCCTGTATTTTTGAGCAATAATGACTCTCAAAAATATTATTCTCAGAAAATTTAAGAATCTGTTATGCTACTGTGTTTATTATTAAAAAGACTACTATTTCCAACATGTGGGATATGTAACAAGGCAAATTTGATGTGGCCATTTTTCAGTAAAAATTTTGAAAATACAAATAAAGCATTTCTGTATGATTTACTTTAATTAGCAACTACATTATTTTTTAAAAACTGACAAGTCTTGAGCAATTTCTTCTATGTCTTCTAAAGTGTACAATTCATCCTGAAGAGCCAATTTGAATCAGTTTTAATAATCATTTGCAATTTAAAAATATGTTTAACATGTCAAAAAAGTATTAACTTCTTTTATTATTTAAATAGCTATAATGAATTATACCAATTCTCCTTGTAGTTTGAGCTTCATAAAAAAGTACATTCCTGAAACATGCTATTTTTAGCATTTTCAAAGGTGTTAGCAAAGCACACTCCCAACATTACATGGTTAAGATTAACAAAGGAAATAAGGAGGATTAGCCTTACCATATCATCAGTCAGTGTCCTTATATGTAAATGCTGCAAATGAAAGAAACCAATCATATCAGTAATTTATAGAAGATTTTTTTATTTTAGTTAATAAAGTACATGTAAAATTCTACAATGCTAAGTTGAATGTAATTAAATTCCTGACAGTCTAATAAAAATGCATTATATATTGATTTAATTACTTTCTCCAAAAAAAAAATGGACACAAGTTACCCTTAATGTGGTAGTTTCCTTAAAAATAATCTTAGATTTGTAAAATTTACAAACTAGAAACTTCACGATGCTAGAATAAACTCTTCCAAACACCAGCAATATTAATTACCACTAAGTTTGCAGATTTAGGCACAATGGATATAGTGGTTTAAGTAAGATTTTCAATTTTTCATATTATAAAATAGTAAAACTTTAAATATACCATTAGCATGCAGCATAACAGATAATGAAGTACTTTTCTGGCTTAATTAACTTAAACAATTCTAGTAACGAAGAAGAGAGTACTGGAATGACTATTTGCATCTTTAACATCAGTTTGATTTATCACCAGTGGTGACAGTAGACACTTTTAATTTCATTGCTAGCTTCTTTGAGAACCCTTTTGCTGATTTCCTTGCTAGACAAACATAAGGCCACTTTAGAAAGTGAATAAATTAATCTCTTGCAAAGTGAAGTTCAAAAGAAAAGTATTAAGTTTTTAGAGGGAGGAAATTTAAGTTTTTTAGAAGTTCCAGAATTGAACAAGATTTTTTATTAATTTTCAGTTCACCACCTTCATTCATTGTAGCATTTGATCTTAAAAGTACAGATTAAGGATCAAATATTTCCTAAATGGGAAATTGGGTCTGTTTTATAGGCATAAATGGGCATGCATAAACCATCATCTAAAGTAACACATAGCTAAATTCAATATTTATTGAACTAAATAAATGCAACTTATACTCATGTTTACACACTGAAATATACCTTTACACTTACGAATCTACCTAAATGACAATATGGATTAAGAATTTAAATCATTATCTCAGGTTCTCTTTTCTTTAAAAGATTCCTTCCAACAAAGAGAAAACAATAAATGAAAAAAACCAAAAATAAGCTCTGTGAATACCAAAAAGAAAATGCTAAATAAAGGACTAGTAACCAAACCACTAAGTTCCAGACTATACCATCTGGTGAGCTAGGCTACCTATTCTGATGTAGGACCCCAAAAAAGCAGTAATATCAGTTTAACAGAAAGTTCCTATTTAATCCTAGGCTGTCAGAATTTCCTTTTTACCAATACAGCCTTCATCCCTTAAACTGAGTAAATATGAACAGTGGTTTCTAGGAGTAGCTATGACTCTGGGCAAAAAACTAAAATGTCTGAGGCACTGGCATCAGAATCTCATCCCAGAGACAACTTACTAGAATAAAATACAAAACTTCAGGACTGGATACTGCAAAGAAAGGAGCAATGGAAAGGCTGTGGGCACTCTATAACCACCTTCTGTACATGTGCTTTCCTGCCTGCCAATAGAATTTTCCAATCCACTGCATTTGGCTCTACTCTAGTCAGAGGTATCACCTCAGTCAAAACCACCATCACACCTAAGAGAGATCATTTCAAGTTCCTATTGACACAGTATCATTCTAAATGGTGGATTATCAAAAAATAAGAGTAAGGATTAAATTGAAGTCTAATTTCAAATTGTATGCCACAATAAAGAAACAGCACCTATTTATACAAACGTAATATTCCCAAAGATCAGCTTGAGTTGCCTGAGGAAAATGCCATGATCCCTACCCCCCGGGAGATGGTCCACATGGCACAGACCTCTCCTGTCTGGCCCACAGCTCCCCTCAGCAGTATACTTCGTCTATCTGCCAGTTCTGCTCCCCGCTCTGTCTCTGGTGAATCCTCTAACTGCCCAATGCCCCTGCACCTCTGGCCTGTACCCCAGTTCTGGATGCATAAATAAATATTTTAAAAAGAGAGACAATGAAAACTTTGAAAAATGAAACTAGGTTTCACTGAAGATTTATGATCTAAAATCTACATAGAAAATATAGAAAGTAAAGCACTGGATAGGAAAAGTAGTGAATGTAGGTTAAGTGACATAAAATTCCCAAGATGTAAGTGTTCAAGAGGAACAATTTTAGTACCTTCCAAGGATCTAAAAATCAAACAACCTTTTAAATTAAGTTGGACCTGTAACTTTCAGCAAAATGACCTGTCACTCATGTAGAAATATATCTCATATGGATCCATTTTGGGTCATAGCTGTTTATAACCTTTAAAATATCTCAAATGAGGGGTTAGATATATTTAAATTACTAAACACTTACCTGTTTAACATAAGTCTAGTTGCAAACTGTTCTATACATAATCTTTCATTAAAAAAATGTGGTGAATTACACCAGAATCATCATAATGCAGGAATAGCAGCTCACATGAAAAAATCAGAAAATGCACAAAGGATGAAAAAGTATGAGAAGTGTAACAGTCTGAGGAAAGCAAGAAGATATATTCAAATTCATTATTCCCTCTCTTTTGTAGAACATTTAACTATTGATTCTCACCACCAGTGAAAAGCCAGTAGGGCAGGAAATGGCAGTAAATTCATGGACCCATGACAGCACTGAAGATATTGACTATGAGAAAACCTGCTAGAAAACTATATTAAAAAAATTGGCTTCTATATTAAGCAGTAAAATCAAAGTTTCACGTCAAGCTTTAGCTTTAAGAGAGTATACCGATGAGCTTATATACACACAAACTTAAAGAAATAAAGACAAGCTACTGTTAAAGGACTTCACCAGGTCTAAGTACAAGTAATTTCCCATAAAAATTGAAATTTCCCATTTCCTTCAAAAATAACTGAAAGAAAAGTAAATGAACTTTTCACTAAGTAAATTCTTAGTGAAAAAAATTAACAGCTAAATCAAGTGGCATTCTTTTGCAGAAACTTTGAATACTATTATTTGAAGTTTATCATGATAAGAATACATTGTCTCGTTGTCCCATCTGTTTCAATTATCAACTTCTAAAAAGGGGAGTGAAGAAATGACATAAAATCCTCATAATTCTGGAGGCTTGGTCTTGCTTTTATATATACAAAACTATAAGGCAGAAATGAGGAAAAAACAACTATAAATTCTGCATTTATACTGTCACTTGAGGTACTGTTTAGCTAGGAAATCAAGACACCTGAGCAAATACAAACTCTTCATAAAAATAACCTGATCCAACTTTAGGATTATAGTTGTCAATTTTTAGATATATTAAGTCACCTCAATGTGTCTTTGTGAACTTTAACTACATTACCTCAGCTGTGATTGTAAAGATGCTATTAATGCTTTATGGCAAAGCCAAAAAAAAAAAGTGGTACATCAAAATACAAGCAGTTCTTAACCCAAGAAAACAGCTGTTTGGTTTAGGTGTGGTATTAAAGCACATTACAACTCATCCCTAAGCCAAACACTCATCCCTCTTCCTGTGGGCCTATATTTCCAATTTACTATTTCTTTCCAAAGAAGGAATACCACACAGAGGTAATTAACAGTGTTTTCCTGCTAATAACTATTCATAGGACAAGTGATCAGCAAGACCATTCTAAAACTGAAAGGGTCTTCATAAATTCTCCAAAAGACTCCTAAAGTCAGTAATTAGGGGATAGAAAGACAAAACATAGATCTCTATATTCCCATATAAGGAGGACATCAAAACTGCTTTTGAAGACCCTACATGCTGCCAAAAAATAGATCTAGAACTTTTGGAGCACCATACCAAATGCTGTCAATATCAAAATGTATGAAGACATCATCCCTCTTTCACCAACTTAGTTTACAAATATATAATACAAAATATTTTTTTAAAATCCTGAGGCTCATATGCAAAGTAAGATTGAAAGCAGTAGCCCCAGACTGCTGACAGAAGTTACTTTCTTTCATTGGTTAGCACATTAGAACTCCCACGTCATTATCACAGGACAGCCACGGCCATCAGTGTCAAGCTGCAGGTGAGGATCAGTGTCATCACAGCCCAACACAGTTATAATGTAAAATAATTTTCAGCTGCTAAACTTACACTGTTTAACTGGATCATTATTAGGAATTACCAACAAGAGAAAAACCTGTAAAACATCTTTGGCTCCAACTCTATTTTCATACACTAGGACCAGCTGGTTTCACATTGTTAGGGTGTTCAAAAAGCACAACTCATGTGTACATGGTTGACAAAGAAAAAACAGCAGATTACAGGGCCTCAGTTTCCTACAATTCTAACTCAGTGGGGCTGAGGACCCTGAAGAGCCCCTAGCAATGCTGGGAAACCCGCTCCACACACCACAGCATCTGCAGTTAGACATGAAGGGTACAGATAAGAAGTACAAGATTTTGGAGTGAGTTGACAGAATTGGTATACTTGGGACAAGTTTTTTTTTCTTTTTTAAGTTATACCTGGATTTTTTTTTTTTTTAATTTGTGCATACAGAACTGGGGTAGAGGCCAGAGATGCAGGGGCAATGAAAGGATTCACCAGAAAGAGTGGAGAGCGGAACTGGCAGATTGACGACGTATACCGCTGAGGGGAGCAGCAAGAGAGGAGAGATCCACTGCACCATGTGGGTCATCCCAGGGGCCAGGGATCGAATCTGCACTGAAGTGGCTGTAGCTAGCTTGCAGTGTTTTGTCCTAAGCTGTTGTGGTGCTAGGGAGGGCCTGGGACAATTTTACTGCCATGAAATGTCATCATCAAATATAGGAAGAGTTTGAAAGAATTCAGAGTGTGTTGTGTAGGAAGAATTACCAATGGCATCATTTATTTAAAGACTGTTGATAACCTAAAGTGGAGTAATTCATCTCATACACATACACTTAGTATCTAAATATTGAAAACTGTTCATTATATCCAACCACAACATGACATTCTGCTTGACAAAGTCACAGGTTACTACTGACTTTAGGAGGGGGAAACAAGATGAGTGTGGTTGATGATAGGTTAGTATGCTGCTCACACTTCTGTTTTAAAGTCTAGCTTATCCTTTCCACCAATACAC